TGATAACACCTATAATGATCAATAAACCAACCAAACCATCATTACAGTGAAAGCTATCAACTTTTTTAAAAAAATTATTAGGCTAAAAAAATTTTTAACAACTTTTAAATTAAGTGAACTTCAAACAATCCCCAAATAAACCCATAATAAAAACCATATTTACCTGTGCCCTTCCTGTCTTAACAGGTAGGATACAGAAATTGAATAAAGTTATCAAACAGTCTGCGCTGCATGAATTATAAATTATATATAGAATAATCCTTATTAAAGCTACAAAAGTTCTTTAGTCAAGATCAGTGAGTAATTTTCTAATTTCCCTTTGTTCTTTTAACTTTACTGACAGAACGCTTTATTCGCTGCTGGCGCTTTAAGAGCACCCGTTGCCGAGACGCGGATCTCACATGCGCCTCATAGCACAACTCTTTTCGTCCATAAGACTTTTCTTACGTTATGAAGATACTCGACAAAACGACATTTTGGCATAATTGTGTGTGCTATTGTTCGTTCAAGCTCGAAAGAGAACTGTATTCTGGCACGCGTCAGTGCATGCGCATTATGGCGCGCGTCTTTCTGCGAGTCTCATTTAGGGCATTCACAGGCAGCTTTTCACTTCTTGTCGTGCAAAATGCGAAAAGGCATTTGCACGAATAAGAGCGGGATCGTGTAACACTAGTCAAAGGATGACAAAAAAGAAGAGATGCTGCGTTAATAGCCCTAATTTGTTTATTTCATATAAAATCGCGGCATTTCGCGTTATATAATTGCATAGGTTTGAGATCGCTATTACGATTGCGATTTGATTAATCGTGCAGCACTAATGCTTAGTGTATTCTATATGCAACAGTTTTTTGAGCCTTTTCTTTTAACAGTTTTAAATTTCAGTGCGCATGAAGAACAATAGCACTCTCTCGACTCTATGCTGTAATCTCACATACACCCGGGAGAAGGGAATGTGAAAGGGCAATAAACTCCACTCCAGCAAGATAAAGTCATTTTATGAAAACCATCTACTTTATGCTTTATCTACAAATAAAGTATAATAATGGGAATATTGACCTTGAAGAGAGTGTCGTCGTGTCGCAAACGAACGCGACGCGCTGAATTCTGAATGAAGAATGACTGAGGCGAGATGACTTTCCGTTAACTTTAACTTAGCGACTAAAATTACACATTATACAATGACTTTAGAAGTCTTGGAATATAGGGTGAAAACTTGATTGTGCTTTACAAAGTTTTTTATGCCTTTAGTGGGGCTTAACAAAATAACATAATACTATGCAGAATATCGGACGTCACTGAGAAGCTGCAACCGTGGCGGGAGGATTTTAAGTGTGGCGGCCCGCCACGGGAGAATGAATGTAGAGGAAACACTGCATGTAGTGTGACACGGGTAAACCAATGGTGTAAACATAATCAGATGAAGACGCCACAGGTTTTTATTTAAAAGAAAGAACGTAGCCTACATTTGCATGTAGACATAAGCAACTTTCACAATACTAACTAAAATATAATTAATATTATTTTATTGAATTTGAATTAGACGTTTGAAGGGTAAAAAAAAAAATCGGTCGGTCTGAACGCAAGTTACAACCGGCAAGTCGGTCAGACTAAAAGGAAAAAAAATAAAAATGGGTCTGCCCTAAATTGACAGGGTCGGTCGGGTTACGCCAAACGAGTATTTTTAAGGGTGGCCTTAGTTTCAATCAAAACTATTCGTGTGATGCCACTGCGCAATACACACACATTACCGCAGGATGGCGGGTGTTCATTTCATAAACTGTGGACAATGGTATATTATTTAATGTAGCCATAAATTAATGTATATGTCCAAAAATTGATAATGTCATCATACTTGTAGTAGTGCTATCGTCGCGTAATAATCTGTTTGGTTGTAAAATGTATTACCTGAAAGAAATTAACTCGAATGTGTCGTTTTGTGGAATCATTCATTCACAGACAACATACGAAGATGTTCAACCATAGACTGTAAAAAATATGGACAAAGCGTCTGTGACGTCACCCATAGACTTTCTGAAGAACAGTTTTGAGGCTGTTTATGGGGGGGTTATGGCGGGCGCCATATTGGAAAATCTTGAGAAATACAAAATACAGATGTTCAGAAAGGATACAGCGGTGGTATGATGTGTTGTGTCAGATCATGGCCGAGACGTCAAATTCCACTCGGCGCAGCCCGTTATCAGCTGTCAATCAAAGGCTTCATTTTTCAGATTAGAATGTTGCCGCTTGTGTTCAACTAGATCTTTATCGCTGGCAAAAATATGATGCATTTGCAGAGAAACATTCTTTCACTAGACTAAACTGTAGGTTCACGGCCACTTCATTCACGCTGTCGATGTTCTTAAATCTTCATGTTACGACTCCGAGTCGAGTGTGAATTAAAGTGCTTCAGATTCAGAACAGATCATTCAAACTGATTTAGACAGATCTGCCAAAAGAGTGATTCAATCATTTGAAAATTGAGCATCGCTCATGCCCATAAAAAGATACAGCGTGCTTGGAATAAACTACGCATTTAACAACATGTATTGCATTAAAATAAAGTAACGAGAGGAACGTCGCCCAATGTAACAAAGTAAATCTAGCCTACTTTGTTATTACCATAGATGGTTACTACCATAGACAGTAAAGGTTACTACCCACCTCTGTTAACGTTCACAATAATGCTCTTCTTCTTCTTCTGTTGTTTGTCCTAGATTGTGCAGTAGGGGGTTTCATTCATATTAGAGTATGTACACTGTATGTACATGTACACTGCTGCGCGATCTGTGACAGTAGGTGTGCCGTCAATTTTGTCATACTGGAAGTGTGCGAAAATAAATATAACGATATTCGAATAAGTAATTTTATGATCGAATTTCGAAAGCAGTTTGACTATTCGAAGATCTAGACTCATCCCTTGTGAACACAATGACCAATAAGAGGTGTTTAAGAATCCGTTCAACAGTGTTCAAAATGCTAGAAGGAAATGCTGGTGTCATCACATTTTTTCAATTTTCATATCTACTTGGTACTGAAGTCAGTAGTGTTTACAACTCTATGCTTTGTATTATTTTGGTGTAAATGCTCCTCAGTTCATGCATTCTGCTTTTTAAGCTACAATGATGTCAACGTGAACCAGCATTCACTCACAATTTTACTTCATTAATGTGATGGATTTATGAAAATAGTATGGCATGACATGACTTCACCCATTGTGAATTGATTGGATTTTGAAAAGGAGCAGTTTCAGACCTAAACACTGTAGTTTGTTGTGAAAAGAATGAACGTTTTGTCCTAGAAATCAGGCCATATTTATCTGAGCCGCTTTATCACCCTTGATTATCTTTATGGATTCCAGTATTAGGTGTTTGTTTTATTATATATTTATAAAATATAAATGACAATACACATACATTCATATTTTAAAAATGTATTTAAAAATAAGTTATATTAATTATGGAAATGTTTGTTTTGTAAATACATCTTCAGGGACTGGGTAAGAATAAATTATCGCAATACATTACATTACAATAAAAATATCTATTATGCAATAAGTCACTTTGATTATAAAGCATCTGTTAATGTAATGCTTAAATGTAAATTATTATGCACATATAATTGTTGTATTATTGTGGTGTAACTGTAATTTAAAACACTTTATTTAAAATGAATAGGTATAGACATTGTGCTGTAGCTGCCCAGCAGCACCATGTTTGTGGTGGTTTCTTTTTTTTTTTTTTGCTTTTAATCTCCTAAAAGATAATTCCACTGTGATCCAATTAACGTCTGCGCTGCCCTCCTATTTTAACAGTGGTAATCAGCTCGCACTAATGCTGCATGTATCAGAAGTGGCCACGCTCTCAATCTCATCGCCCAACGCTAGAACGGTCACGCTAAGCCTCTAGAACGACGTTCCTTCCTTCCGGCATCTTTCATCTGCTCTGTTTATATGACTTGCAAGGGCCATAGCACTCTTGAATTGCATTTCATCCTGTGACTTTTGCCCTGTGCGGTCACCCAATCACACACTGAGACAGGCAGCAATCTCTATCCGAGGCCCGTCCCCTCCGCTCATGATGGTGGCCCATTATTGTTGCTATGGGAACTGTCTCAACTTTCCTGTCTGTGCTTCTCCCTCTGTGCCACGTCGTCATCACGTGAGCGCATGGGTTGTTTAACTGGTAACTTCTGCTGTGCTTTTTTTTTTAAAAGCAAACGAGTTGAAAACAAGATGAGAAAGGAAATGCTCCAGCTGACAGGATCGAGTGAAATGGAAGGTCAAGGTGGCTGTCTGATGGGGGATTTTCTGAATTTGGATAGTGGTGTCTGTCCTGTGATTTAAGGATAATCCTCTCAACAGTAACTAATCCACGGTCCACTGGTTAGATTGTTGTTATTGTCCCTTGTTCATTGAGAGCGTTTACCGTCAGCACTGTACCAGTATCTGCGAGTCACGAATGAGAGCTAAACCGTTGAATCCCAGAAGTCATATTTTATCCTGAATCAAAAGGGGGAAATATTAAGTTATTGTGCATAAAAACATAACCTTTTAGAGACATAGGCTATATTTTCATGACACCATGACAAATCAGGAACTTTCTTTGCAAGGCTGATTGCATGTTTATGATGAATATCCATACAATATACTATATCTCTTGTGATCTTGTTTTCTTCACCACGTGATATGGATTTGGTTATGAAAATACTGCTTTGTTGGAGCAACTTCCCCCTTCAAAGCAAATCATATTATATTTATTCATGGTGATAAAGCTGCTATTTGAGTTGTCTCTTTATTATTTACTCTAGTTATACTTTTGTTTACTTTGGCATGAATGTCTTTCAGGAGCTTTCATAGGCATCAATATAGCTGCTGTTCTATTTGCTTTATATTTATAAATACATTTTCTTGCATTGCGCACTCTAAAAAGGTCAAATCTGTCTGTCGTTCATTCTGTTTTGCACCTTATCTAACTGTTTGCCTTCCTGCCTCTGTTGTCCAGGTTTCCTCTTGTTCAAGGATTTCTGCATGAACGAGATCGACGAGGCCGTTCCACAGCTGAAGTTTTATGAGGAGGTAAAATGTTTTTGTTTTCTTTGCAAGCAAGCATCTGTATATTTCCTTAAATGGGCTTTTTGTTAATTGTGCAAGTTTTCAAAGATTTTTTTTTTTTTTTTTTGTAATTGACCTGACTTGTTGCGATCTGCAGTTACATGAACTGGTTATGACCTGCAAAGACATGGCTGATCGATACGTTTTTTTTTTTTTCCCCATTCCATTGACCAGAACAACACCATGTTTTCCTATAAAACAGTGTGGGATTGTCTCTAAAATGACGGTAATCTTGTTTTGTCCTTTTCAGATTAAAGAGTACGAGAAGTTGGATTCAGAAGAGGAGAGGCTAACGAGCAGTCGGCAGATTTATGACGTCTACATAATGAAGGAGCTTCTGTCGTGTTCACATGTAAGAAGAAAATGTCAGAATCTATAAAATGGTCACTAGCAGTCATTTCTCATTTATATGACATAGGACTGCAGAATATATAAATGATGAATAAATATTCAAGATTTTGTCTGCATTTCAGTTCTACAAATTTTATATCTATTTAGATCTGCTCCTGTCATGTCAAAGCTTTCTATTCGCTACATGATTGCTTGCAAGGTCAAACTGATCCAACAACTAATCAGTGAAGATGAATACTTGCATTTTTTATATATATATATAAATATATATATATATATATATATATATATATATATATTTTTTTTTTTTTTTTTTCAATTCATTGAAAAAAAAAACAGTATTATTATTAGGGCTTTCAGTTAAACACGTTATTTACGGCGTTAATGTAAACCCATTTTAATGCCGTACATTTTTTATTGCCCTCGTCAATATCAGGACCTCTCAGTATTTATTTCACCCTTTTATGGACGGTGTTACATTGTGTGAGAAATTATTGCCAAATAATTATTTGTCAAGTCATCCTCATTTATTGCACTTTTAGTAATGTAGATTGTTTCAAAGCAGATTTACAGAGATAAACATATAATTTAAGGTAACAGAGATTGGTTTGGTTTTATAGCGGTTCCCGAATACTCTTATCTTCCAGCCAAAGCCAGTTTTGATTAACTCGCCTCCGTCGAAACGATCATTTGCCGTTAAATTAGGGGTCGCTAAGACGGCACCGTTCTCTCTAAACTTTTTATATTCATTAGCCCTTAATATGATGCATGCAAAGAAACATGGTTCTATAATGCTGCTAGCTGGAGGGATGATGTTTCTTATTGTCCATTGAAGATCCGGAGACTCAAATGATTTCTGTTGAGAAAACAAGAGAACCATTAGCCTCCGTCAGTCTCCAGTAGTAGCTTTTCAGAAACAGGAAGCCCAAATGAACCAACACAATGGCTTATAGGACACTCAAGCCCTGTGTGATTATGTCACACTGTTTTATGTTGTGATAACCAGGACTGCTTAGGAGGTTAATGTAGGAAACTGTTCTTGTTGTTTTAGTGTTTTGACCTCCCTTATCGCAAATGTCACTTAATCTACCTTCCTTTCTCACAGCCCTTCTCTAAGAAGGCAGTAGACCATGTCCAGACTCACCTAGCAAAGAAACAAGTTCCTCCAAATCTCTTTCAGGTAAGTCCGCCAACATGACATAATCGAACCAGTTTTTCCGGGTGCAGATTGGCTTTTGTGCATTGAACACAAAGGAAGGGAAAGTGTTTAGAAAGCAGGGACTCACAATAGATCCTGATGCACTTGTTTGCTTGTCTCCTTCCAGCCATACATAGTTGAAATCTGTGACAGTCTTCGAGGAAAGATCTTTCAGAAGTTCATTGAAAGGTGACAGACTACTACAAAGCTAATAAAAATTAAAATGTTCATTTTTGAGTTATTTTGTTGCTTGGGAATGATAATAACATTAAAACCTTTCTATTTGTTCTCTAGCGACAAGTTCACGCGTTTCTGCCAGTGGAAGAATGTAGAGCTCAACATCCATGTGAGTTTTTCTTTTTTTCTTACGTTTTGGTCCCTTGTTCTTTATTTACCCAAAAGTTATTCATGCACCTTGAAAAACTTTTGAAATCTTGTTTTTTATTTAATTGCTTTATTTTTGCATGTAGTTGACCATGAATGACTTCAGCGTGCATCGGATCATCGGTAGAGGGGGTTTTGGAGAGGTGTATGGATGCAGAAAGGCGGATACAGGGAAAATGTAAGTGCTGTTGTAAGGATGAAACCAAAAAGAAGCTTCTTTTGGGTTTAGATAAAATGATGTGCTTGTGTGTGTGTCTCAGGTATGCCATGAAGTGTTTGGATAAAAAGCGGATCAAAATGAAGCAGGGAGAAACGCTGGCGCTCAATGAGAGAATCATGCTGTCGTTGGTCAGCACTGGGGTGAGTGACACGTTCACAAGTGCAAACTCAACTCGTCGTAATACTAAGAGTGCACAATTAACATCTGTCTCATTTGTGGTACCCTCTCAATTTCTTTTTCTCTCTGCAGGATTGCCCTTTCATAGTGTGTATGACATATGCCTTCCACACCCCTGATAAACTGTGTTTCATCCTGGACTTGATGAATGGTAAGGGAAGCCATCATCTCTTTGGTCTTAAAGGCTTGTTCATGCCAATGTATTAGAGTCCAATTTTTATACTAAGAAAAATTTTCGGTACACAAAACACTAAAGGGGGTCGCACGCCGGACGAGAAGCGCAGTGTCGCATCGCGCCACATGGTTAAAATTCAAATACATTGTTTTCAATGACTCACACCAGCACCCAGCTATGAATCAGGACTGCTGTACAGACAATATCTTAATTTCATAATACCCTTAAACAATCAAAATTGTTGACCACCAACTGACAAAATGTGTGCATCCTGTGTGCAATACCTCCAGACGCTAGACGTGGGACTTCTTGCTGCTTTAAGACTCCATAAAAAAAAGCAGAAGTACAATGCTTTGGACTCTGTGTTTTGAGTTCATATTGATTTGATTTTAGATTCATGAGCATATTTTTGGGCTATAGTTTAGATGGTCTCACCAATCCAAGCCAACACAATCTCCAAGTGAGATTGTAAAAGGCCATTTAGGGCTCTTATTTTGGCCTTCCTCTATTACTCATTGTCAGCCTGAACATGGGGCGGATCTTCCTCTTCAGACAAACATACACTTCCTGTATCTGCGCTGCAGCACGGGCCACTTCTCTGAACGTCCTTCTTGATTTGTGAAACAATCACATCACGCACTTCAGAAACAGTGGATTTAAACACTCATGGATCTAGTCATAATAACCCTTCCTACATATCAGAATGATAAACATTTTCCCAGAATTCTCAGAAATGGACACTGTTCAAGTGGCATCTCAATCAAATTACTATAATTAATTAAACTCATACTTGGTAGACTAGAAGATCCTTGAAGTATAATTAGAGGATATATGATTTTGCAAACTGCAAGTATAAATGTCGATTAGAAACCAAATTTTCCAGGGTTTTTTCATTATTTGTTTTTCATTTGGTTTTGGTTTTTATTATTCAATTTTTATCTTGCTTTATTTTATTATGCTCTCTTTTTTTTATGATGCTTAATTTAGAATTTTTTTAAACTCCCTTCAAACGGCTGAAAAAGTAAAGAAAATGAATTGGTTACATGGTGTGGAATCTCTGATCTTATATATTTATAATGTAGTTTAATAGTTTGATTGTACTTGTGTTTCAGGCGGAGACCTTCACTATCACCTATCTCAGCACGGGGTCTTCAGCGAGAAGGATATGCGTTTTTATGCAGCTGAGATCATACTGGGCCTCGAACACATGCACAATCGTTTCGTCGTCTACAGAGACCTCAAAGTGAGTTCATCACCATCCCAGTTGTTCTTTTTCACACTGAAAGTATTGTTTGTACAGTCCTCTGTCACTGGAAAACCTGTTCTTGTGATTCCCTGTTTCCGCCAAAAAGGGAAAATGAAATGTTCCGTTAGAGTTTGTGTATTTTGTAACGTAAGCTTGAATCTGTTCTGCGTCGTCTGAGGTTATTTTTTATTAAGTTTGGCTGAGCTGTCTCTCTTGGCAGCACTGTTTATTGTCTTTAAACGGAAAAGTACGTCATGTGACGGAGCGAGTCGAGCTTAACCTACAGTCCCAAACATAGAGTTTAGCCTGCCATTGCGATGACCGCTAATATCATGTCATTTGTCGACCCTCCGTGTGGAAGCAGCAAGAGTATAGTTATGCAATCGTTGTGAATTATGCAATTTTAAGTGAGATGTTTAGACTTCGCGCTGCCAGATTGCTGAGGATGTGCAGGATCTTCCCTGGCAAGCTCCTGAAACGGGAGACTGCACATGCGAGCGGGGTGCATTCTGTGAGCGAGCAATCCTGTTGTTTTTCAGCAGTTTCACTGCTCTTTTGTGTAGAATGTAATAGATCACGTTTGCTTGCGTTCCTGAGAACCTTAATGCATGAAAAGATTTCCAGTGTGAAATGTCTATTACAGGGATAGTTCACCCAAAACTGAAATTTTGTTACGATTTACTCGCCGCGTCATATCATTCCAAACCTGTATGCTGATCATTTCATTTTTTTACATAATCATCATGCAGATGTTTTTATAACACCAGTAGTGTAATGCTAATATATGGTTCATAGGAAATCTCATTGGTCAAAATCCCTGTATATTAAATATCAAATATTTTCTTATTGGCTGTGATTGTGTGACATTCAATGGTAGAATGGTCATATATGTTAGGGCTGGGTAATAAATATAGATTTCTCGATATTAATCGATTCTCATTTTTACGAACTGATATCGATTCTTAAATCTAAAGAATCGATTAGTCATCACGTTTCATTTGAATGAATGGAACATTGCATCGAGGTTGCGCGCATCCAAAAAAATCGCAATAACCTTTGTTTCAAATCGCAATAAAAAAAAACAGTTAATTATTAACTTCATATTAGGCTAATGAAGCCTATAGGCTACAACTAGACTCCCATAGTTTACAGCATTAGTTAAGAGATTAGATTTTCTTGAGAAAATTTGGCATTTATTGTAACTGATATCCAAAATAATCAATATTGAATCGAATCGAAATCGAATCGAATTGTAAAATTTGTGTCAATACCCAGCCCTAATATATATGTTGTTGTTTTTTGTTTGTTTTTGTTTTTACTTTGTTTTTCATGTTCCTATCGACTCGGCCGTCATAGTAACAACAGCCAATCACTTCACATTTCTGGTGTTGCATGAACGCGATTGGCTAGCGTCAGCTGTAGGGTGTTTGCATTAGCTGCGTTGGCGCATTAAAAGTTGAACATTTTTCAAATTCTGCTGCGAGCAACGGCATGACCGAACCCATAATTGAGTTCGGCAAAGCATGATGTCACTCATTCAGAGTAAATTAACGCTGACGCCCCGTGTGAATGCACTGTAACTAGTAGTAAAGCGGAAGAGACGACCAGTTCACGTGCGCTACATTAAAGAGCGCCAACACAGTGTTTATTTTTTGAATCTCGTAATAAAATTGACCAGAATTTGAAAGCTGCGTCTTTAAAGAAGTAACAAAGCACAAAGCTAATTGGGATTTGTTGGATGCGAGGCTCGGTACAAAGCTTTGTTCATTCATCAACTGAAAACAGCATAGGCTGAAAGATTGTTTCTTGGGATTTAAGAATCAATACTGTTCTTCAAAAAGGGAATGGGAATTGTGCACGCTTTACATTGTGTACAAGGTCATTGTTTTTTGCTGGAAACTTTTGGCTTTGCACTTAGACAGTGTTACACTCAGTGTTGGGAACGTTCACTTTCTACCTGAAGTAGTTCAAAGTTCAGTTCACACATTTTAAAATGAACTAGTTCAGTTCATAGTTCATACTTCAAAAAATTAACTAGTTCATTCATAGTTCTTTTTTTCCACATGTTGCGAGCTTTTTGTTTTTTTTCATTATTGCCACAGCTCATATACAACCACAGACAACAATTATTTAATCGACAGACAAAGTTTGCACATTTTAAATGATCATACGACGCCTCCTCGCTCGCTGCTTTGTCGTCGGAGGCCGCAGTGCGACACTGGTGTCTTGTGTTGCCAGATTGGGTGTTTTGTCGCTACATGTTAATTAAGGCCTGTTTATGTGTGTTTTAGCCGGGTTTTCGCCTGGCAGGATCTATAGAAATCTGGCACCCTATTGTACAAAGTTAAACTGAGAGAGCGTGCGTTCGCAGACACCAGAATGAATACGTTCACAGTAACATCCATCAGGCAGTAATACAGTACGTTCAGTTCACGTTTTCCCAAAATATGAACGCGTTCAGGCACAACACTGGTTAAACACTATTTCTGTTTTTTTTTTTTTTCTTCAGTAAATGTACTCCATTGAATCACAGTAATTCTGTAGGTTTATGCTCACAAAAAGACATTTTGTTCTTTATCAGGTTCTTAAAAATGTTTCTTTCTTTTTTTTTTTTCTTTTTTTTACTGTGCTAACCTCCGCATCATTTGCTGTTCCACACAGCCTGCGAATATCCTCTTAGATGAACATGGACACGTTCGCATCTCTGACCTGGGCCTTGCCTGCGATTTCTCCAAGAAGAAACCACACGCCAGCGTGTAAGTTCCTCTTCTCGAGGGATCAAAACCACATCTTTTATTAGTGTAAAATTAAAATGTCTCTTGTTTGGAGGAAGTATGATGGCTTCTGTTTCACAAGCTCTCTGTTGTCTCATACTCATGTTTGAGCATATTGAAGCTTTTTGCAGCCAGTTATAAAATCTTAAACCAGCCTGATCTGTTTTTTTTTTCTTTATGGAAGTATACAAATGCTTTAACCAATGAATTGCATAAGCAATCATGTTATACATGCATTTGGTGTATACAGTATGTTTCAGTGTTATTTCAGTGTCATTTTATATGAATTGTTTAAATGAATCATTTTATTTTGTAATCCATTTGTTCATTAGAAAAATTACACAACTTGACAAATGTAAATTTTCCTTTGTTTATATATAAATATAAGTATATCAGTCTGGCGAGTAAAATAAAAAAATCACTAACCAATGGCGATTCTATTGCAAATGTATGCGTAGAGGGTTGAATAGAAGATACATTTATGTCACAAAAGCTTTCTGTCACTTTTGATCAATTTAAAGTCTCATTGCTGAGCAAAAATAATTTATTAAAAAAATTAACCATTAACCCAAACGTTTTAACGGTAGGGCTGGTGTAATAACCAGACAAACTGATGTTTGTAAAGCAAAGCTGAAACGAAATTCTTGTGGATATGATGCTATAGCCGGGACAATTTTACATATTTACCCCCAATGTCAGCACTAATTTAATGTTCATTTCAATAAAAAAGCAGTTATTCAACAAATGTGCTCATTTAAATATAGATGGTACCATCTTAAAGGCACAGTAGCAAAAACATCATGGTGAATTCAAAAGGCCAGAGAGAGGATGGAAAACAAAATGAAAATGCATAACAATAGTTTTTGGGAGAGTGGACTAATGTAGCAGTTCTTTTGACTGTTTGTGTTATGTATAAGAATGAGCTTTGTTATGTTTACAGTCAGTGTGTGCTCAGCCCGGGGGGTGTACAGTTTGATTTTAATGTGCATTAATTCCTTTGTTTGCAGAGGTACCCATGGCTACATGGCACCTGAGGTTCTGCAGAAAGGAACAGCGTACGACAGCAGCGCCGACTGGTTCTCTCTGGGCTGCATGCTGTTCAAACTCTTGCGAGGGTAGGACCACCCTCTGCAGCGGCCCACTCATGAATTCTTTATCTCTCTCTCTCTGTCTGTCTGTATGTCTGTGTTTCTCACCTGTTTGATGTGAAGTGTAAGGTTTAAATGTCAGGGGTTTGGAAGCAGGAGGTCAGGAGCAGACATCAGAGAAAAAAGGCAGAAAGGGAGGGGGTGGAGACCACTGAAACCGTTGCTAGGTAGAGAGTGTGGGGGGGGGAGATGTAATGGGGGGCGGAGTCTGGTGCATGTCTTTCCATTGAGGTGCGTCTCACACATACTTCAAAGCAGAATGAAAACAGGTCAGAACAGACATGGAAAGCTTTCTATAAATTTAAACTTTACACATAAATGATTGTACATATAAAGCGTGTGTGTATGTATGTGTATATATAAGTAAAATTAAATTAAAAAAATGATATGAATTATTCATATAAAATTATAAATAATCATTTATATATATATACTGTGTATGTATATGTACATTTTAAAATGATAGCAACATTTTATAAAAATAATTTATATAATTTTAAAACTTATTTATTTAATGTTCAATATTAATATAAAGGGGTGGTTAATCTGTCTGATTTCCTGATTCGATTACGATTGTTATAAAGTCCCGATTCGATTACAGTCGATTTTCGATTATTAACGATTCTCGATTACCGATTATTGATTTTCCATTTCACAACAGTAAACGAAAATGCACTAGACCAACATATGATTATATTAGCAGCAGCAACATTTTTGTACTAATTGCACTTTTTATTTGTTTGATATTCAATGAAAATGTAATGATGGTTAGTGAGGACATGCAAACATGCTTGTTGTCTACTACTTAGGCATCTCATTATATTTAATTTTTTTTTTTTTTCAAAAGCAATTGTGTTGCATTATAATGCAAAGCACCTGGTTCTATTAATTGACAGCATTTAAATGCATTTTGTGATTTCCTTCAATTTAAAATCTTTGAAACAAGTTTGGGGACTTGAAGGGCACCTGATTCAGAGAATCACCCAGAAATTAAAAAAAACCCAGCATTTATCTGAAATAGAAAGCTTTCGTAACATTAAGGAGCAAACACTAGGAGCATACTTGTAGTGAATTAATAATATAATGACTGGTACAGCCGAGTGTTTTTCCTCTTCTGGCTGGAAACGTGTCGTATGACTTCTCATATTTGTCATGTTTCCGTCGTTGGTTTTATTCTACAAAGCTTACAACTAGTGTGGCTCTTGTCCAGCTCCTTTCCCTCTTCAACTTCAGAAGCCAAAATATTTCCACATGTCAGCTTTTAACCTAACAACGAGGGTGTTTGGATCTCCGTTATGTGCACGCCACAGATGGTCTGGCCTTTCGTCTTTCGCGTTGCGTCAATATTAGGTTATTATAAATGTATATCTCAATTTTTTTTTTTTTTTTTAAATATCAAAATATTTTTTTTTTGGAAAATCGATTTTTTTTTACATTTATGAATCGATTCAGGATCGTCCGCATCACGATTCACCGAGAATCAATTCCCCCCCCCATCCCTATTAATTTATGTATGTGTGTATATATTTAAAAATTTGTAATTTTATATAAATAATTCATATAATTTTTTTAAAATCATTTAATTTTTACTTTTTGAGGTTTTAGTTATCAGTTATAACTAACAATAAGCCATCTGAAGCGAATCTCAATTTTTGATTTACATCAAGACGATGTGATAGACAATGATAATGCTTGTGTCTCAGTCAACAACTGAGAGTGAAAAGTTTTTGAACTCTCATGGAAACCCCTCCCGCCTACCTATCACTGCTAAATCACCACATGTGTTCTCTGTTTGACGTTGCGAGTCTGAGCACTTTGTGTGCGGTTACATGAACTCTGTTTCTTCTGTCCTCATAGGCACAGTCCATTCAGGCAGCACAAGACCAAAGACAAACATGAAATTGACCGCATGACCCTTACCATGGTAAGAAACCACACGCAGCTTTATTTTTGTTACCTTCACACATAGTCACATGTAAATGAGAGTGATCTAATTTAAAATTGCTACATTGTGCATGATGAAATGGACTGAAAGTTCCCATAGAAAAAAAAAAGGCTAGCAGTTACCTAGAACATCTTCGCAGGCACACAGATCTTAGTTATAGTTTTAAAAACTTCTAGAGAAGTGTTACCTATAAATTGAGTTCAAACTGGAAAGTGTCTTTTGGAGAGATTCTTAATCCTGAATGACAGATATTGCAGTGAAACGGGAGATAGATAAAGGAGCCACAGCTTTCCGTGGAAGTGAAGAGCGAGCATTTCATCATTGGAGCACCTGTGCCTTTACACCCACTGTTTAACAAGGGAACGCTAATGGAGAGGAATTTGCATCCACGCTTTGCATTTGCTGTCCTCCTCTCACCACAGCAGTAATTTAGTCCTCACCGAGCTGCAACGCTCTTGACTGTTGTGCAGTCACTAGAAAGGAAGTCACTTGTTTTTAATGCTGATTTGGGACTTTTTGTGGTTTCCCTTTAAAGCTAAGACACAAGTGAACTGTCTACTGAGGTGTGAATTCTCCCAAGGCAAAAATATGCTGCCCTCTGAGACGCCTGGCTTTGATTAAAATCAAAAGCAGCGTTGCATGCTTCTTTCACCGATAAGGCAGTCCCAGAATACATTGCGAAGACTTGGCTCAGTGCTAATGGCAATTCGAAATGTATTTAGTTTTTCAGTATTGATAGGAAATAGTTACAACTAATTAGAAATACACAGTATTTGTGTGTGCCATGTGTTTTTGTGCTTATTACAGTATCAGGTAACTAGACTATATCGCTGCTTATGAAGGTAGTTTTAAATGAGTCATTAGAACTTAAAACAAAGTGCGTCCCAATTCACATATTTATGCACTATTCTAGGGCTGCCCCCTAATAGTTGACTAGAAGAGGTTTGGGCGACAAACATTTTAGTTGGTTAGTTGCAGAAATAAAAATCACTTTTAAAAGAATGTTTTTTGGCAAGAAATCCAAACATTCAAGTATACTGAAACATGTAAGTAGTAGCACACAAGTCCACTCGCTCCGTTAACCTAGATAAATGTGCGCTATTATTAGACGCATAAGTGTTAAGAGCTTAAGCACATAAACACTTACTGCATGACTTGCTGGCTCCTAACTCAAAATAACAACAGAATGTTGTGCTTTTGTAAAATAATGAAAACAATCAGGATGTGCTTTCTGCCGTGTTGGTCTCAGTGAACCGAAACTTAGTGTATACTTTTTCACAGACATGAGAAATATATCTGAAAGCTTGACATGTCTACTTTTAAATGAATCAATTCAAGTGGAAAATAAATGTTCTCCGATTTTCATCCGTATAAAACGTGCATATACGCGCGTCCACTGCTGCGGAGATGACGAGTCAGCATTGTGACTTTGAATTCTTTGACGTTTTGTAATATAAATCGTGCGAGTGATGTGTTCACATTGAGAATTCCAAATAGAAAAATGTTTAAATACCCGAATAATGCACTTAAAGATGATAAACGGTTTTCCTCTGACAGGCAGCAAGATAATGTTTTATTTGGAAAGATTTTGAGCCAAGACTGTTATTGTTTAATTTTTTTCCTGATGAAATAAAAGAAGTTATAGTGTACTCCTGACTATCCTGACACAATAATAGACCTACTCGGGGTTTGTTTTCGGATGCCAACCTCCCAGGAAAAATGATCTCCATATTTCATTAGTCAAGGATTTAGAAGGTAACTTTTATACTCTCATCAGATTTATTTATTTTTAATTTTTTTTTTTATTATTGCAATTTTAGGCATTACAGGGCTTTAACAAAGGGAAGAACACATCATAAATCAAATCTGCAAGCAAAACATGAAACCTCCATCTGAATCCCTTACTTGTTATTTTTGTCAATCGAAGAAACCTTTAAGGGTTTTACTTGTAAAGTCTACAGACACATATACAAATAAATAAATACATTTAGAAAAATAACCATAATAAAAAATAATAATAAAATAATACAAATAATATCATCAGATTTAGTTAATATTGGACTGGACAACTTAATCATAACACAGAGGTTTGAAGTTGGCAACCAAAGGACTACTGTTCAAAAGTTGGGATGCATTTATTTGATCAAATATCCTCTAAAACTTAAATATTTCTATTTAATATACAATGAAAAATAAAATAGATCCTGTCATGGAAAAGCTACGTTTTCAGCTTCAGTGTCACATGATCCTTCAGAGACATTGTAATACTTGCTGCTCAAGAAATATTTAATATAAATGTCCTTTTTGTGGATAATATTTTGACGAATAAAACCTACAACGCAATGCATCTAGTTCAGCGTTTCTGTGATGGTACCTGACAGCTTGATTTGCGTTTGTACATCTGCATTTACTGTGACTTTGGTGAATGTTGACCTTGATTTGAATGTGCAGTTGGCACACTGCCTGTTATGTAAGCGAATTGTTTTTTGGTTGTCCTCACATTCATTTGTATGATTATGAGGATATTTAAATACCGTTAAGCACTGGGTACTGTTAATGCTCTGTTGATCTAGATGGCAAGTATAAAATTTGCTGTTCCTGCATATTTGCATTTTACTAGTGAATTTTCTGTGTAACTAATGAGGAAAGCTAATAAAGCACATGCAAACACTCTCTCGCTCGAGTCGTCAAACACCAGGCAACACTGCATAAAGTCATGTTTAATTTGACATCAATCGAACTCATGAGCCACTTCCTGTTCATCTGTTTCCTCAGAATGTGGAGTTGCCTGACTCCTTCTCACCTGAGCTCAAGTCCCTCTTGGAAGGACTCTTACAGCGAGATGTTGCCAAAAGATTGGGGTGTCTGGGGCGGGGGTAAGTCAAACACACTCCTTCTTCAAGATTAGACATCTGAAATACTGCGGTCACGTTTTATGTTTTATTTATTTGTACTTTGTTTGTAGTGGACTACTCAATTAATAAAAAAAAAGTTTGATGGCTCTTGTCTGGATGGAGCGGCTGTCTGAAAGCATTTAGATTAGGCAGAAGAGCATGCTGGGAATTATTTTCAGCTCTTTCTGAATTGCTGACACCTGCTGGTCAGAAGTGGGGATGGTTGATAAAGTACATCCTACTTTACCTGTAAAGCAATATGTACTGTATAGCAAAGCCTTTTTTTTTTTTACAAAATTGCTTGTATCGTCGTAAAATGTAAATTATATAATCGCACTTCTGTAATCTGCTAAACAAAACTATAAGGATTGAAAATATATAGATATTATAAACATTAACATTGTGATCTTCTGTAAAGCTGCTTTGAAACCGTGTCTATTGGGAAAAGCGCTATACAAATAAAAGTGACTTTACTTGTCTGAATGTGACCTCTTTTACCCACTGTAGGGCGTCAGAGGTAAAGGAGCATGTGTTCTTCAAGGGAATCGATTGGCAGCAGGTCTATCTCCAGAAGGTGAGACCTTTGACCTTCTGTTTTCGAGGATCAGCCCTAAGACACCTTGTTGAATAGCGTATAGTCCGTTAGAATATGGACAGCAATGTTTAACTGATCTAATTTCGAGTCGGATAGTTGACTAGCCGTCCAACACTTGATTAGCAAGGTTAAGATTTTTTTCTTTTTAGCCAGGGCTGCTGCTTTAAAAAGAATGAATTTAGACAAACATCATCGAGGAGAGTGTGTTTTACACAGTGACTGTTAGCGTCCTCTCCAGGAAGTTGTGACTCCAATTTCATCCCCTTTACAGCACTATCAATGCACAAAGTGAAGCCAACAATACATTTTTATAAGATAATTACTGTCAGACCTCAAATCATTACCTGTGAGCAGTGTTCCCATTATCTGTAGATTTCTGTATGATGAGGACTATGATTTTTTTATGTTTATGTTAAATAGAAGGTTATAGTTGGTTACTGAGCCAATAGAGTGCAACAGTCACTTTTCATTAGGTACATTTCAGTAAATATATTTTTAACGATAGCTTATAAACCATTGCGAGGTTGTCAATCAATGGTATTCACTTTTATTGTAGCCAGTCATTCACAGAATTTTTTACTGGTGAAAAGCTACTTTACCCATGATGCTGTACAGAATACCACCAGTCGTAGAGTTGTGCTTGGCAAATCATGCCAAAAGAGCTTGCAGGGAACGCCCACTCCCATGAAGCGCCACAAATGACGTAATAGAGTCTTGCTATGCTATCAAAATACTTAAAATTTGGTGCATCACACAATAAACTTGCAAACATATTGTTTCAATAGATATAATCAACAACTTAAATGAATAGTTTTATATTTCCCCATTGTTTTTAATTGCATCCTTTTTAATCGTCATTCACAATGCTTTATGAAATTGTAGTTCTTTCACTCACTCAAGCCGTTAAGTACACAGTCTTGTAGCTTTTGTGTTTTTGCCTAATTCTCAAATACATTTTTTCTTTTTTTAAAAAGTGTTTGTGATTCAACTCATAGCTGGTTGGCTTGCTTTATGACGTATAATGCTTTAACAAAGACTTGTATGAACGTAAAAAGTACTTCTGGAATCAACGCTGCAAAAAAAGTGGTTGAGCACTAATGCGCTTCGTGTTTTATGGTTTCTGATGTAAATGAGGGTTTATTCTGCGAGATGAACTAGTCGGTTGTTTTGACACATTTCCGCCATGATCATTTTTCATATGGTTTGTTTAATATGAATTCTCTGCATCTGTGGTGTGGTTGCAGTACCCCCCACCCCTCATTCCCCCCAGAGGCGAGGTCAATGCTGCAGACGCCTTTGACATCGGCTCCTTCGACGAGGAGGACACCAAGGGAATTAAGGTAAAACCGGTCACCATGTGACCAAACTTTCCACTTATTCCACTTGGTGCTCAAGCCTGATGTCTTTGCTTCAGCTCAGTGGCTCAGTGGACTACTTTTTTTTTTTTTCAAGTGTACCCAAGATTGTGTCTTGCACTGAGAGAGCCGTATAAAATCTAAGAGCACTTGAGCTTAGATTTCATGCTTTAAAATCTCCAGGAATTTTCCATTATGCTTCAAGCTTTTTAAATGTCTCCCTTTTAGCCAGAGTTTGACATTCAAAAAAAAGTCTGAAAGTCTAGTCCACATTGCAACTTAATCCTTTTTCACACTACATGATTTTAAAACGTCGGGCTGAACTGTGCGGTTCATGCTACATGACTTGCTCTCTGTGAAATCAGGAGTTTGTTTAGCTGTTCACACCACACAACGCAACGTGATTGATCCACAACAGGAGGTAACGCACTACACGAGTTGACAACGCACTACATAGAGATACAGCCACGATCTGATGATAAGAGCAAATCATTTGTGACTCTAATGAGAGCTGTTTCAGGACTATGGTACGGTCTAAATCCTGAAAATAATCAAATAAACACCCAACGATTCTATCTTGTCTACAAACCACGTTTTGTCACGAAAAACCACACAATAAAAGAACCAGAAATTATGCGAAACCGCACGTGCGCCAATACCCAGCGAAGAAGAGAACACAACACGCGAATATGGACGTCAGACAGAAACTAGTGCTGCACACTGTTTGCGCGATGATTTGCTCTGAGAAAAAAATAAGATTTACCCGGTGACCTCAACCCATGCCTTGCTCTGATTGGCTGTAGGTCATGACATCACTGAGGTTGAGTCGTGCGACGGCTCTGGATATCTAACATGGTAGATATTTTTCTGGGCTCGGCGACGCGTCTGCGAGTGTCTTTGATGCGTTGTTGGCTCTTTCATACTAACAGATTAGCAAGCGTTCATCGTTCGCTAATCCCCGCGATTTGCACACAATAACACCCTGACCTGTCGGCGAGCTCAACGATTTGCAAATCGGGCTTAAAATCCTGTAGTGTGAACTTGGCTTTACTCTTGCTAAGATATCCCATGTAGACGGTCTGAATTGAATGTCATTGTCATCTCATTGTCATTGTGTCTCTCAGCTGCTTGACAGTGATCAGGAGCTCTATAAGAACTTTCCTCTGGTGATCTCCGAGCGCTGGCAGCAGGAGGTGGCCGAGACTGTGTATGACGCTGTCAACAGCGACACAGATAAGAACGAGGCGCGCAAGCGGGCCAAAAACAAGCAGCAGGGCCATGAAGAAGGTGAGACACTGCACATTAGGATTTGTTTAATTGTGACGTTAATTTCTGTGCATTATCCCCCAAATTCTCATTTCCTTAATGTAAGATAGCTTATTAATAAAATATTATTTTATATTTATTAGGGTTGGGTATCGAGAATCGAGTATCGATTGGAACCGAGACTAACTTTTCGTTTTTCCCGGAATCGTTCAAAAGTAAAAATTTCGATTCCTAGTTTCGATATTCACAGTCCGCCGAGCGGAAGAAGAAACCGCTGAACAACAACAACGAAGAAGCGTCTACCGGAAGTGTTGGCATAACCACGCGAGTCAAACATGAGTAGCTTACGTCGACGATCCAAAGTGTGGCTTCACTTTTCTAAAAATAACGAAATCTCGGCAAAATGCAAAATTTGTTATTTCCTTCAGAAAGACCGTTGGTTAGCAAGGTTAGCTTAACTTTTTTGACCCTGCCTCTTAAAAGAATCGGAATCGAGAATCGTTTGGAACCGAAATCGAAACAAGGAATCGGAATCGGAATCAGAATCGTTCAAATTCAAACGATACCCAACCCTAATATTTATACACGATCGTTCCATGTTTGGGGTCGATTTCTTTTTTTTTTTATGTTTTTTTTTTATGTTTTTGTTAGAAACCCCTTAAGCTCACCAAGGCTAAATTTATTTGATCTAATACAGTAAAAACTGCAATTTTGTGAAATATTACAAATAACTTTAAATATATATATTTAAATATATTTAAAAATGTAATTTATTCCTGTGATCAAAGCTTAATTTACAGCATCATTTCTCCAGTCTTCAGTGTCACATGATCCTTCAGAAATCATTCTAATATGATGATTTGATGCTGAAGAAACATTTCTTATTATTGTCAGGGTTGAAAACAGTTGTGATGGTTAATATTTTTGTGATGCATTTTTTTCTTTCATAATTTTTTGATGAATAGAAAGTCCAAAAGAACAGCATTTATTTGAAATAGAAATATTTTTGTAACATTTATAAATGTCACCTTTGATTAATTGGCTTTATGCACAGCTGCACTACTTCCTGAACTTAAGCCAGCTCCTTGTTTCCTGTCTGTCATTGGACAAATTGTAGTCCAATTAGTCCAGGTGTGCCTGACCTCAGTAGTCACGGCAACAATAATCAGACACACCTGAATTAATCAAGTTCGGCCAATAATGGCAGGCAGGAAACAAGGAGCTGGCTTAAAGGGTTAGTTCACCCAAAAATGAAAATTCTGTCAGTATTTACTCACCCTCATGTTGTTCCAACCCCGTAAGACCTTCGTTCATCTTCGGAACACAAATTAAGATATTTAAGATATTAAGATCGCTCCTGCATACAGTCCATAGGCTTCTTGAGGGACTGGCTCTTGCTGTCCTCGAAAAGTCATTAAAGACATCGTTAAAATAGTCCAAGTGACTACAGGGGCTCAATCTTAAGTTTATCAAACGACGAGAACACTTTTTGTGCGCAAAAAAACAACAAAAATAACGACTTTATTTCAACTATTCATTTATTTCTCCCTCTGCGCGAGTCAGGTTACTAGTTTAATAGCGTAAGCTTCTGTTATTGTACGTCACACGCATCACACACACATGACCAGCGTCGGCCAATAGTGAGCCTACGTGTGACGTAGCTCTACGCAATCACACTACGTTAACTGACTTACAGGCTCATGGAGAAGGAAGTGAATAGTTGAAATAAAGTCGTTATTTTTGTTGTTTTTTTGCGCACAAAAGTGTTCTCGTCGTTTGATAAACTTAAGATTGAGCCCCTGTAGTCACTTGGACTATTTTAACAATGTCTTTAATGACTTTTCGGGGACAGCAAGAGCCAGTACCTCAAGAAGCCTATGGACTGTATGCAGGAGCGATCTTAATATCTTAAATATCTTAATTTGTGTTCCGAAGATGAACGAAGGTCTTATGGGGTTGGAACAACATGAGGGTGAGTAAATACTGACAGAATTTTCATTTTTGGGTGAACTATCCCTTTAAGTTCAGTAGTGCAGCTGTGCATAAGGTCAATTGAATGCTGAAAAGAAGTATTGATTTCTTTTTTAAAAAGTCTTACTTTATAAAATAAATATAAAAAAGAATTCAAATAAAATATTTTCATGTACACTTTCATATTTTTGTGACTAGCGTTTGTGTCATGGCAGTGTACACGGAACAGCTGGTTGCAAAATGCTGTTTGTAAACATCCTGTTTGCTCTTATTCAGCAAGCTCTCATTTTCTAACTTCTGAGAACTATAGCGGATTGTTTGGGAATGTTTTCACGAAATGTTAATGAACAGGCACTCTAGGCGTCACATTGTCTGCAGCACTCGGTCATTTACCCAGGTTTTAAGGGGGTCCAAAAGATTTTTTATTGTTTTTTGGTGGAAACTAGTTTGCCTTAAATCATAACCCGTATGCGGAATTGACAAGCAGTAATTTCACACAGCGGTGCCGAGAAAAGAAAACCTCTGCTACGGTAGTGCTACATTCTCCTGCATGAATTAAAGGCCCAGGTGACGTCAGCTAATCATCTTTCACTGGTCCAGTGTCAGTTCCACCAGCGACCTCGAGGACAGGCTTGAACCCTACGTACTTGTTAGCAGTGCTGGTGCCATGTGCTTCCCTCAAGGGAAAGACACAACACCCATCACATGACCGTCTGTGTGATGGTCAGAAATAGATCTGAAAGAGCCCATGTAATTTAGCAAACACTGAATTAATCGCATGCGTCACGACCACAAGATACAAGCGCAGGAGTTGTGAGCAGGAATTCAAATGGGTTAAACCTCAGTGAGGGTGAAAGAGACCCAAAAATATAATTCTGTCATTAATTCACTTTCATGTCTTTCTAAATGTGGCTTTCTTCTCCAGAACACAGCATTTTTATGAATATGAATGCGAAAATACTAAGTAAATACAGCTATTTGTAACAAGGTGACGTTGAGTGTCCAACAATTGATCATTATTTGATTACGAGTGCCTGTGCGGTGTTTGTGCAGACTACGCGCTGGGGAAGGACTGTATTATGCACGGCTACATGCTGAAGCTAGGAAACCCCTTCCTGACACAGTGGCAGCGGCGGTATTTCTACCTATTTCCCAACCGCGTTGAGTGGAGAGGCGAAGGAGAGTCTCGGGTAAGTGTTTTTGTGTGTTTCGTTTGTTTGAATCTGTATAAGGGGTTAATCGGCCATTTTTGGAGAATGAACGTTGCCTGTGTGTCCCTGCGCTTTAGGAACATTGGACTAAAACGTTAAAAAAAAGTAAATTCAAGGTGAGTCTGGTGCATTTTAGCTGATTCCCCCTCCTCTCTCATTTTTCATTTTTTAATCTGTTTTAGACCAGGAATTATCATGATTTTGTTAAATTTTCTGAAAAGGAGTGGAGGAGGAATCGCATCACTTTAAAGATTAGCTTATGCCCTGCGTAGTGCTCCATCCTGCTGCGAAATTCCCATAGTGACGCAGGTTCACCTGCAGCCTGGGTGCTTAAGTGAAGCCGTGAAACATTGAGACGCCCACCTCTCCTTTTAATATCCTCTGCTTCTTTCCACCGCTGAACCAATCCCGCAGTCTTTCCCATCCGGAGGAAGCGATTGCGTTTGCGCGCAGGTCTGTGTAATGCAGAAGTAGGTCACTGCAGATTCCCTGGGGCCAGAGAGTTTCTGCCCTGATCTGTAACTAAGATAAAGAAGTGCAGATTTCACCAGTTTCCTGCATTTTTAACTTCCTGATCTTCTGAATCTTCAATCTGAAGGGTAAATGCACTTACTGTGGAATATACTGGAGATGAGATGCATGGAGATGGATAAAGAGGGAGGCCACTTACAAGTCAGATTTGGAAGCAGTGATGATTGGTTTTCACTTTTAGAGAGGCAACATGGCTTTAATTCATTCTTTTTTTTTTATTTGATTTTAAAGTGTGCTATATATTATGCTTTTTGAGCTAATGTCAGACTGACTTAATTCGTTAATTTTATGTATGTTCCAAATGAAAATAGTTCATATTATTAATTATCAATTTTAAAATTAAATTCACTGGATTATCAAAAAGTTGCCATTACAACATGGTAATCTAATATTCAAAATAAAATAAAAAAATCAATTAAATAAATTTGGTTAATATTGCCCAACCTTATTATAGATATGTAATATTGGTTATATATTTTGTATTCATTTACACACATGACCCATGCTAGCAAAATGAGTCTTGAGCAAAATGTTATTTTCACATTCTCTGTTAGAAAATCTTCATAATGATGTTTGTTGCGATCAGACAAAAAAAATTAATGAGCTGCGCCGATTTGAAGTCAGCAAAGTCAATTTTTTAGGAAAAAAACAGTCACCTAGCAACCATACCGTAAAATCCAGGGTAATGCCAACAAATTTGACTTGAAAGTATATTATATACTTTTCCCCCCCATGATACCACAATTGTTTGATTAACATTGAGACAGACAGCCCTATAGACCATTTCACAAGATGTAAACAACACTGGTCCAGAAGCACTTCCTGTTTCAGTTTGTAACTGTTTTCTTTATTTCACATGTAAAGAAAACATCTTAAAGATGTTTGTTTAACTTTTTGATTCAGTTTTAAATGTTCTGTTGGTTGTATTTTATCCCAGCTTTTATGTAGTGTTAAAAAACTGGAACAGGAAGTGCTTCTGGACCAGTGTTGTTTACATCTTGTGAAATGGTCTATATATTAAGACCTACTGTATTGCACGGATCTAATATAAATGTTTTACATGAGATGTTATCCCCAACATTTAACCAAACTTAAACTTAACTTAAGACATAACAGATAATGTTTGCGTGAATACACGCCAAGACCGGTATTTTGAAATAGGCTACTGTAATTCTGTGTATATCGGGATTGCGCTCTGTCTGAGAGTCTTTGTGAGCACGTCACATTTCATTGGTTCAGACTCATGCCATCTAGAATTCGCTATAATTATATTCACAGAGTTGGAATGCTTCGCTTTAAAACTATAACAAACTTGTGCTGATAGGAAGCACCAGTCGCAAAGAAGCAAGCAGAAAAAAAAGGTAATCCTCTCAGAAACCTACAAATAAAGATAATTTAGGTATTTAATTGCTATTTGGAGCATTGGTATTGCTAGACACGAGGGCTTAACAAATTTCTATGAAAACAGAATTTGACCAAAATTGAAATTTTTTTGACTTGTTTTGCCTGTAGCTCGTAATGAGCTCGTCATTTTGCCAGCATGGGTCACATGTTTTTTCATAACACAAAAATAATCTGTACATTACTAGGTTTATGCTCTAATACAGTGTTTTTTGAAAAATTATTTTCAATTCTGGCAAATTGATCAGTGAACAAAATGTTATTTTATTTATTTTACTGTGTTTTTGAACTTATAATATTACACTAAATATTTAATTGACTGTATACAGTAACATAGTTATTTAATATTAAATAAAGCAAAAATAATTATATTGTCTAATTTATTGTTACCATAATATAAAACTGGTCATTCTACCTAACATTAGTATTGAATTTTTTTTTCTTTTTCCATTACTTAAAGATCCCTTGTTTTAAGCTGTGATTTTATAGTGGAGTTTGAAAATCATTTCCTATTCTGACAGCTGGAACAGTGAGCCAAAAGGCTTTTTAGGGGGGAAAAAGGTTTAGGTTTTCACACAGATGCATGTTATAAATCAGGGTCCATAGAAACCAGACTGAATGCAGTTGTCATTTAGAGGAAAAATGTTTACAGAAGTGAGGCATCTTTCATTTATCCTTCGGTCAGATGGGAATCAGGTATCCGAGATCGGATGATTTCATGAGATGAGTCTGCAGCCTGTTGTACCAACATTAACTCAATGAGTATAAGAACAGCTTGTCACCCTCATAGCCTGAGACAACCTCTAGAAGCTCTACCTCAGTGCAAGTGACGCTGATAGATAGCATGTACCTGAAGAGTAGAATAAAATCCCACCCATGCAGAGCTAGCGGGTAGCATGGCGTGTTGCTCACAAACTCAGTAGGATAGTCTGTGAGAAGACTCTTAGAGGGATGCGCTAATTAGTCTTTCCTCCCTCCAGCAAAACCTGCTGACCATGGAGCAGATCGTGATTGTGGAGGAGACGCAGATCAAGGACAAAAAGTGCATCCTGCTGAGGATCAAAGGAGGGAAACAGTTTGTCCTGCAGTGCGAGGTAGGACACCTTCATGCTGTTCTCTTCTTCTATTGTTCTTGTCTTATCTTGCTTCACTTTTATTGCTACCCATGCATTTGTACAAAACTATAGTGTAAGTAGTCTTATTACAAATCAATACTATTAAATATCCAAATAAATCATACATTTTGTATTTAAATGTCATTTATGAGATGAAATAATGTAATTTATAATAAAGAGAACTGGTTTCAGGCACAAAAAAAGGCCTGAAAAAGTAGAGCACCGACTCTATGGGCTTCTCATATGATATTAAATTAAAATATTTTTTTAATTTATAAAAAATATAAAATTGTAATATTTAAAATGAATTTGTTTTAAAATATTAAAATATTTATTTTATAAAAACCTTTAGTAGCATGATAATTTAATATTAAAACAAAACAGCAGACTTTTTTTTTTTTTTTTTTTGTAAAAACAATTATATTGTCTGATATACTGTTACCATAATATTAAGCCTTGGTCATAATGCCCAACCTTTGTTTGTTTCTTCCCCTTTTGCTCTTATATCGTCCTCTGTGGGCTTCTGATATGTGTAAATATTACATTATCCAGAAAAAAGCAGTCTCTGTTGGCTTCCATACAGTATGTACTGCTATGAACTTCTGTTCTAGGAAACGTGCCTTATCTCTTGAAATTTGAGGCTTTCTGCCACTTTTGCAGACCTTGTTGAAATTAAACCACATAAGAGGCTGATTAATTTTTTTTTTTTAGGCCGCTCGTGCAATACAAATAGCTTTCACGTTAAATGGATGAGTTTTACATGACATTTGCATGACAACTATACTTTAGAGTCTAGGCACAAAACAGTACAAAGCACAGCAAAATATTTTTCTAAAGACAGAAAAAAACACATTTAGGCACCAATACTTTTTGAATAAAATAATTGTATTTAAAATTAACATCTCCCTTGACTGGCTTTTCGAATGCTGTCTGATCTACAAAAGATGCATTTGTCAACTCGTGTTTTAAATATCCTTTGCATCCAGTGTGCCTAAAAATGCTGTCTAGGTAGCTTGCTAGGGTTTTATCCATTACTTTGTTAAAACAATAAATCAGATTAGCAATTTATTTATAATGTTCTTCCTCTTCTCACAGAGTGACCCAGAGTTCGTACAGTGGAAGAAAGAACTCAACGAAGCATTCACAGAGGCCCAGAAGCTGCTGCGTCGTGCCCCCAAAGTCATCGGCAAGGGCCGAACTAACGTGGTGGAACTGTCCAAACCTCCGCTCACTCACCGCAACAGCAACGGCCTGTGAGCCACCCACCCCCCGCCACCCTTGTCCACTGCTCCTCTCCATCCTTTTCATCAACACACACATGCACACGCTCTCACACCCTCTCCCAGCAAAACGCTCGTCCATCAGGCTTCCCAACCGGCACAGTGAGCCGCCACATGGTCCATCTTGAAAGGTTTTGCTGGACTGCTGTTCCACAACTGTCCGTCAATCAAATCCACACACACAGTTCACTCCAGGATAATGCTCAAGAACAATCAGTGATGTCAATGCTGCATCTGGGACCTTGTTTTGACCAGTGGTGCAGGCTGAGATACTCTGAGACACTCTCGTTTCTTCTGTGAACCCCACATCCTTCATGCACACGCTGGCATGCTCGTATACAGGCAAAGATTAAGGCCTCTGCTGTAAGTGTCCCAAAAACCCAACCAATGTTCACTTGGAGCTTCTTTCCCAAGTGGCAGTGTGCTGGAGCTCTGGGAAGCTGGTGGATCGTTTTCGCCAAGGGAAACTAGAGCCATTCAGTCTGAGAGAGCCAATCAGATGTAAACAATCTCAATATACGATGGCTTGAACAATATTACTCCCATTGTCTTTTCATGTCCTTTGTGGGAAGGCCAAGGTCACCTCACTGACTGCGCAGTTCTTGAAGCGTATGCTTTGCACCGCGTTCTGTCAACATTGTGGGTGCGTGGCATGCATGCAGTTTCACACTTAATGGACTCTGATTTGTGGACTGTTGTGGCACCCGACCCCTATCCTGTACTTGTAAAGTACAAAAGTCTTCTACACTTCCGTAGTACTCTCTGTCGGATTGAACAAGTGTAACAGCATGGGTTGCGAGTGTTGTGCACATCCAAGTTGTGCTCTTAGAGGGCAACGTACAGTGTAAAAATTAGGGAGCTTCTTTTCTTCTTTTTTTTTTTTTTTGGTGCTCAGCCCTTGTAAACACCAAATTCAGTTGGGTTGCTGCGTGCCCGTTCACGTGCATTAAATGCGTGTACTTGTGTGTGTACACGATGCAAAATGTAGGTGTTGTTGCTTTAAAGGATATGCCCATGTTGTCACCTGGAAGAATTGTTTTCTTTCACCTTGAATGTATTTTTTGTTTCTCTTCGTCTTTTTTTGTTTTTTAGTGATTTACGCTGCTTGACACAATGGGAAGGAATGTGGTGGGATGTTTACGAGGACACGCCCCCTTCTTGAACCCAACCCCTCCCCCTTGAACTCGCAGAAGTGCAAAAAGTGCCAATGAAATAAACGTTGACGAGACACCTGAGAATTCCTCGAGTCCAGGCGGCGTCACATCGATCTCCCTGTGAGCGGCTCTGAGAACAGTGTTGGATCGCACAGGAATAAACTGAACTCGCTTGAACAGCTTCGCCGTACGTGTGGACGGTGGACGATGCATGATGTCGCGGTTAGAGGGACCACTTAGGAAGAGAACAGCAGCAGCAGCAGCAGCATCCCTGGAGTCTTTTATCTGACTGTATATACGAATCCTTTCTCTGTGCATCTACAGTATAATCTTCTTGACAATGTTTGCATATATGGCGAATCTCTGTCTCTGCCTGTCTGTGTTTGTCCCTATGTCTCAGCTTGGGGGTGGGCGGGTTGTTCACATCTGTCAATCTGCGACACGCGCAAACCTGAGGCTGAGAGAACTGCGTTCGCGGAGAGTTGGATGACTTATCTCATAATGAGGTGCGGAGAGGTCTTCTGTCTGTCTTTGTGTTTAGTTATGCCGGCGCCTCTGTGGGTGAGACGCGCGAAGCGGCATCACCATTATCCATTTACGGGCAGACACACTGTTATTCTGAACGAAGGTAGTACGCTCGCACTCACAGGTGTTCGGGAAGGTGGGCTGCTTGGATCGTGGAAGGAGAGATGACTTAAAAGCGTTTGTTGTGAGGCTTGTTTTGAATATAGTTTCGATTTTTATATTGTTTTGAATGTGACGCAAATGCAGATTTCTATAGATGAGATATTTTTTTGAGCATGTTATGTGCATTTATTTTTCTTTTTGGTTTGAATGGAAAAACAAGCACAGCTTAACAGGCATGAGATGATTTTAAAGAAGTGTTTTCTTCGTGTATATTCAGGTTCTTTTTTTTTTTTTTTCCATGCAGTAATTTTCTTTTCCTCTGACTCCTGTCTGTGCATTTCGAGTGATTTGCATGTGACGCTCTGCAAAAATTGCAGGGTTTTTGGGGGAGTCGACCAGTTTTTGTAGCCTTTAAGTGTCTGGGAGGTGCCATCCTGAGGATGTTTTAGTGCCCTTCAAGGGTTATATTTTCAAACCAAAATGGCTTGTTTTGAAATATTATCTCTGCACTTTTCCATCACGCTTCACGAGCTGATGAAAAAATAAATGTGCCAAACGACTGTAGGAGAATGTCCTTGAACCAATGAAAAGCTCATGCGACGCTCGCTGTTTATTTCCGAAACTAAAATTGGTACGTTTTAACAGGCGACGAGTGTCGACGAGTTTGAGAAAGGGTACAAAAATGTGACCAAATTCAGGTGACGTGGAACAAGTGTGTGCTGCGGGGCGAACGACGATCCTACGTCATTGACGACACGCCTCGAAGCTACTGACCGGCGGCGGCCGCCGGTACCGTGTTTTGAAACTGCTAGCCCGTTTCTCAAGAAGGGTGGCACCTCCGCCAGTCCTAAATATCCATGTTTTATTCAGGGGTTTTATATTTTATTTTAACGGTAGCTTTTCATTCACTTCGTCAGTGTTTTTTGCTTCATTCAAATGCTTGTGTGTCTGTTCCGTAGCGGTGAATTTGTCTGTGGGCGAACGCAGGTTTTGAAATGGAAGAGGGCGATAAATAGGAATAAAAAAAAGAAAAACAAACTAACAAAAATCGAAGTATATATGTGTATATGAAATTAAAACAAATGAGCTTAGGTTTATTTAAAAGATTTTACGACGTAGACTCAAAAATTGACTCGGGAAGGGATCGGGTTTGATGTGAGTTCAACTATTTGTGGTGAAGAATCAGCTCAGATCTTGCACATAAAAGTTTAGATATTGTACCTACAAGTTACAGATTATTATTTTTGTTTGTTTAATACGGGACTCTCTTGCTCTCTTTCATATTTATTGTCTGGTCGGGGAGCTAGTCCCTCTGTGCGTGGGTTTACCTAGGGCACGGAGCTGTCGAGTATCCGGGTTTACAGTCAACCGAAACTCTTTTTCATGTGCCACAAACTAACGCAAATACTACTGTCTGGGGTTATTACCATTTAAGGTTATGATGATAATGATGATGATGATGATTATAATAATTATTGATAATATTATTCAATGAATGATAATTGTTATTAAAAAAGATTCTTTTGTTTTTTGGTTGTTTTTTTTTTGTTTGTTTTTTTCAGAACAGCTAGGAACATGTGTGTTGGACTGCTTATAAAAACAGTTCAGAAATAAAAGCCCCTTTTTCGTGTTGCCGTGTCTGTTGTCTCCATGCTTTCGGGATTGATTCGGTTTATCTCAGAACAAGGGGACTGGTTCTTAAAGGAGTAGTTCACTTTTCAAAAAACTTTTGCTGATAATTTACTCACCCCCATGTCATTCAAGATGTCCATGTCTTTCTTTCTTCAGTCGAAAAGAAATTAAGGTTTTTGATGAAAACATTCCAGGATTTTTCTCCATATAATGCAACTGTTCAAGGTCCAAAAGACTGTTTCAGTGCAAACCGCAAAGTGTTCAGGCTTTAAACGATTCCACGCGATGAATAAGGGTCTTATCAAGCGAAACGATCGCTCACTTAAAAAATAAATAACAAAGTTTAAGTTTTATAAGCACAAATGCTCGCCTTGTTCTGTGGTACTCTCCTGTTTGAACTGTTTGAAATCTTTTCCTGAGTCAATTCGTTCATTTCGTTCGTTGAATGAACCAAATGACACGAAAAAAGATTCGTTCATTTTGATGAACGAGTTCAAACAGGAGAGTCACGAACGCACATCACAGAACAGAGCAAGGCGACCATTTGAGCTTATAAAACTTAAACTTTATTTATTTATTTTTTTTAAGTGAGCGATCGTTTCGCTTGATAAGACCCTTATTCATCGTCTGGAATCGTTTAAAGCCCTTTGAACAGTTTGCAGTTTGTCCTGAAACTGTCTTTGGACCTTGAACCGTTTGGTTCCCAGTGAAGTCCATTACATGGAGAAAAATCCTGGAATGTTTTCATCAAAAACCTTAATTTCTTTTCGACTGAAGAAAGAAAGACATGGATATCTTGGATGACATGGGGGTGAGTAAATTAAGCAAAAGTTGTTTTAAAAGTGAACTCCTTTAAGCAGTCCAGTTAAACAAACTCTTCAATGCAAGATTTATGAACTGAAACCACAATTAGGCAACTTTCAGGGCCAGATCTCAGTGTGATTGAGCTGTGCATTAGTGTTCTGGAGTTAACAGTAATCTCCTGGATGTCCTCCGTTATCCTGCAGCTACTGTATAATCAAAGCTCAAATCAATCTTAAGGGTTCCTGAGGTGAACTATCCTCCCCATATTGTAATATCTGTCCTCGTTTGCCTCTCTTCTTGTGCCTAGGTGTGAAAGGCTAAATAGTGTTTTTAACGGCACTGGTTGAAACTGCGTGTCTAAATGTCATTAGTTAAGAAAATAAAAACGCTGCTAGACTAGAGTCAGTTCCCCTCTCGAAATTGTTTCTTTAAATGCTTTGTTTTTGTCCTCATGCAATTGCACTCAAAACTGACCCTTTTATTTATTTTTTACATGCATTTGTTATCTTATTTTGTGGTATGCATTTGGCAGATGCGACTTGCATTGCATTCGAGCTATGCATTTTATCAGTTCATGCGTTCCATGGAAATCAAACCCATGACCTCGGTGTCATTAGCGCAGTGCTGTACTGTTTGACCTCAGATTGTAAACAACTTAATGTGCTCATCAGTTTTATCTTTTACATCAATATGCCTTAAGATAAAGCAAGACCTTCCGTGTGAAATCGATTTAGCAGGTTAAAATGAAGTTTCCTAAAGATTAAATTTGTAATCTTTGAGATATTCCTCCATGACAGCTTCATTCGACCCTTTAAAAAAATCGTAATATCCATTTTCCTCGGGCGGTTTCTCCCTGTGATGCGGTTCTGTTCTCTCTGACACCCTCCTCCCACAGATCGCACCTCCCACCCCCTGCCTCTCACAGCTGAGTCTGTCTGTCAAATCACACCGCCAGACATTAGGAAGCCTGCGGACTGTCGACTCGTTCTGTTGCCAAGACTGTTTTCACAGGTTTATATTTGAACAAATATCCAGGTGCACTTTTTAATCCTAAAACATCTAAAGGAAATGGGGTTATTCTAAACATCTAAACATCTGACCCGGCCTAGCAAAGTCCCTGCTAAACTGTTACGAAGTATCGCCACCACATGAATCAACCATGTTTTGAAATCATACGATTTTAATATCGAAGTCATTTCCAGCACTCTCCTGTGTCAAAGTGTTTCCCAAACAGGGTAGTATGTCCCACCTCCTCTTGCTGCGGGATATTTATAGCCAAGTCTTGTGTTAACTCAGCTGCCATGCTTATCCATGTGTGTGTGTGTGTGTGTCACTCTATTTCAGATTGTAGCTTCACCCTCTCAGTGACAGTGAGACTGTGTGCCTTGCTTTTGGCCTCTTCATTTTTTTACTGAAGTTTCCCACATACAATACTTTCATTGGATGTATTTGTTTCCGTAGAGGAAGCCATCACGAGGTATGCCTGTTGTTTTTTCTTATTGACACCCGAATGTATCTGTTTCTTTTGTAGATCCCGTGATTTATTTATAGATCCCAGACTCTGACAGATATCCAGGTCCTGTATGGCTGGTGTTCTCCTAATGAAATCAGGGACGTTTGGCTTTTAGGTCTAGGCCCAGAAGTTGAGTGCTTTGTTCTGTTTGGATCGACGGGATACTCTGTGACTAAACGCGGAGCTGAAATCTGAGCTTTGTGTCTCAGGATCATTTTCAGCCTCTGACTAATTTGTTTTGTCGTTTGCCGTGTAATGTCGAAGTGGATGACGAGATGTCGAGGTTTGGCAGAGTTTGATATATTTGCATGCAATGTCATGATCCTGTGACCTAAGCTTCACATGAATCAGTGTTTTTGTGCATTTGCATTGATGAATTAATTTGCAGGCAACAAGTGAGCAACCATTTGTCTTCTAGAAGAAGCAGATCTTTAAAAAAAAAAAAAAGGTACATGGGTCTTTTATAAATACCATGGTATTCAATGAGTACCATATTCCATTATATGCCGAGCTACTTATTACCATACTGTTGGTGCAAAAATCATGCTATTTCTGGGGGACCAAGGTCAGAAATTAATCAAATGCTCTGGAATTCGAAATGTTTGTTGCATTTTATATAAATATTAGGGCTGTCAAACGATTAATCGCGATTAATCGCATCCAAAATAAAAGTGTGTTTGCATAATATATGTGGGTGCACTTGGTATAATTATTTTGTATATATAAATACACACACACATGCATGTATATTTAAGAAAAAAACATTATATAAAATAGTTATATTTATATATAATATAAATTTATATATATATATAAATCTATATACTATATATATATATATATATATATAAATCTAAATGAAAATATTTCTTAAATATATACAAGCATGTGTGTGTATTTATATAAAATAATTATACACAGTTCACCCACATATATTATGTAAACACAAACTATTATTTTGGATGCGATTTATCGCGATTAATCGTTTGACAGCACTAATATATATATATATATATATATATATATATATATATATACGCACAAACACACAGTTCAACATTTGAAGTGAACAAAAACGTTTCATCAAAGTTATATATGAATTTTAAACAATACCCGTTCTTATTTTAGGACGACTTTGAACTTTTTTTTTGATCCACTTCAAATGCTGACTACTGTATATATACAGTTTTTACTATTGTAGACCTAACTGCTTATTTCATGTAAAAAAAAAAGTTATGAATAGGTTAATATTAGGCATAAAAGGTTGGCAGTATTTTCAATTTGGTTCGAAAAAATATATATGAAAAATTAATTTCTGGTGCCTTTTACAGTGCATATTAGAAATTAGGTGAAATATATATATATATATATATATATATATATATATATATACACACACACAAAATAATTATACACAGTGCACACATATATATATATTATGGCTGTCAAATGATTAATCACAATTAATCACATCCAAAATAAAAGTTTGTGTTTACTTAATAAATGTGTGTGCACTGTGTATAATTATTTTGTGTGTGTATATATATATATATATATATACCCACGCTTGCATGTATATTTAAGAAAAAATATTATTTATATATAATATAAATTATATATAAATCTATATACAGTATATACATGAAAATATTTCTTAAATATATTCAACTATGTGTGTGTATTTATATATATATAAAATAATTATAGTCAAGGCAACGCAAGTTTATTTATATAGCACATTTCATACACAATGGAAATTCAAAGTGCTTTACATTAATTATACACAGTGCACCCACATTTATTATGTAAACACAAGCTTTTATTTTGGATGTGATTAATCACCATTAATCATTTGACAGCCATAATATATATATATATATATATAATTTATTTGATAATTTGTGTATGTGAACACAGTATTTTGTTTGATTTTAGTAAGTAAGATAATATAAATATTATATAATATTAAATATAAAATGAATTTAAGTATCTGCTATTTATATTTTTAAACCCCTCTGAGCTGTTTGGTTTGCCAAAAGTGGTAATAGTGATTTTTCCGAAATGTAAATGATTAAACAAGACCTTACATGAACAAAGTAAAACAGATTTTTAAAATGAAAAACTGCTGGCTGAACGTTGACCGTAATGAGCCACAGATCTGTGCTGTTTCCAGTCAATTCCTGCCATTTGGCCTTCATTAGAGCCGGCTTCTGGGTTTGTTTTCATCATTTGTTTGTGCAGTTGGAGCGGGAGGTCTGCATTTATCATTGCTTCACTGAAGACTGTAGAAGAACATAATCGCTTTCATTTAGTATCTTATTGCCTGAACAAGCTCAGCTGGATTTATCATCAACTACTGCCTAATTCTTGATATTTGCTTGTGCATGCACACTGCCTTGATACCAGGCTGTTTTGAGTGGTTGGCTATGCAGTTGCTAGGGTGTTGTTGTTGTTTTTTTTTTGGGGGGGGGGTGATTTCTAGGGCATTACAAGGACATTACCCCTACCCCAAATCAATATGATATTTACTTTCCTAAATAGGACTCAGTTCTCTCCTTACCCCTTAAAGGGATAGTTCACCCAAAAATGAAAATTCTGTCAGTATTTACTCACCCTCATGTTGTTCCAACCCCGTAAGACCTTCGTTCATCTTCGGAATATAAATGAAGATATTTTTGATTAA